GGTCGCCCTCGACGAGCTCCATGATGCCGATGCGTCCGACGGAACACAGCGATGGTGATCGGTCGATGCAAAATTGCGCGCGGACGGCCGAGCGGCGCGTCCTCGCGCGACGGCGGAGCGAGTTCGCGGCGCGCCGCAGCCGGATTCCCAGCGATTTCCAACAATTTGTTGTTGGAGCGCGTCGAACAACATACGGTGGGCGTGTCTGGGCCGCCGGTACGGTCCACGGCGTCGGCGGGCGCCGCCCTGGCCCTCGGCGCCACGGTGTCGCGCTACGGCGGAGCGAGTTCGCGGCGCGCCGCGGCCGGATTCCCAGCGATTTCCAACGATCTTTCGGCGGAGCGCGTCGATCAGCATACGGTGGGCGTGTGTGGGGCGCGGGTACGGTCCACGGCGTCGGCGGGCGCCGCTCTGGCCCCGGCGCCACGGCGTCGCGCTCGGTCCGAAACCGTTGCGGCTCGCGCCGCCGGCACCGAATTGGTGCGCGCCGCGGGTCAGCGGCGTCCATGTGAACCCCTAGGACACGGTGTGACCGCCGGTGGGCCTCCAGGGGGCGCACACATCGCAAGACTTGGCCTGTCGGAGCCTCTTCCTCAAACGCCGACACTGTCGGCGTTTCAGCTCCACCCCCGGCCAGCACGAAATAGGTGCCGTGTCCAAAAATTGCCTCAGTCGCCAAGCGCTCTGCGGTCTTGATCCGAGCGCCGGATGGCAACGACCTCCCTTGATGAACAAAGCCTTGAGCCGCCTGCCGTTGTAAGTTCATCGTCGTCCGAGGAGCGGCCATCATTGCTAAAGAAAGCGGTCTCCTGGTCCACAGATGACCTCTTCGCCTCGTTGAAATCCTCGAGCCCTCGCCGCCGATGTTCGACCCCTGAGACGCCGTCGCAAGCGCTCTTGCTCGCCTACGGCCTGGAGACGCCACGACCGGCCCGAGGCGGAACAAACCTCGCCTTCCGCGTCGCGTTCTTCGCCGCGCTCGTCGTCGGCGCGTGGGCCCTCGGCCGGCGGCGCGTCGCGGCCTCGCCGCCCGTCCGGGCGACGCCGAGCGCCGTCGTCGGCGAGCTCGTCGACGCGTCGCCGGTGGCGCAGCAGGTCGTTCTCGCACAGCAGGTCTTGTTCAACTGCTCGGCCGTCACGGAGAGAACGCCCGCGCGCGTCGGCTGCGCCATCCGGCGGACCTTCGCGCGCCTGCGCATGGCCATCACGAAGCACGTGCTCAAGCTCGCGGTGCTCCTGAGCTTGGGCTTCAGCCCGATCCCGTTCGTCCTAAGCTTCATCTAGGAATGTCCACATCGTTACGCCGCGGCCGCGTTGGGGAAGAGCTCCCGGGGGTTCCCGCCGTAGGCGCGCTGCCAGTAGCCGCGGTGGAAGCCCGGCCCCTCGAGGCTGCGGTGCGTGTAGGCCGTCTGCGCGGACGCCGCGCTGTCGACGGACGTCCGCGTCGCGAGCGAATTCCGCGTGTTCACGGACCGGAGGTCGTCGGCGTCGGAGAGCGAGTACTGGAGGCGGTCCAGGGACCGCGTCACGCGGGGCGCGTCGGCGTCGGACGCGGCGAGCGCGGCGACGCCCACGGACACGGCCTCGGACGCGGCCGTCGCGTCGTCGCCGCGCGGCGAGTAGCGCGCGTTCTCCGTGATCGTCGGCGGCACGCTCCGCCGCGGCTCGAGGGGCTGCGCTTGCGGCGGCGCGGCGGCCGGCGGCGCGGGAAACGGGCCGGACGGCTGGCCGGAGAAGGGCTGGCCGGAGAACGGGCCCGACGGCCGGCCCGACGCACCGGAGAACGGCGGCGCGGGCGTCGCCGCGTAGTCCCGGAGCTCGTTGGCGCTCGACACGTCGCGGCGCATGGCCTCGAGGCGCGTCGCGAGGGCGTCGTAGGGCGACGGCTCGGCCGCGCGCCGCTCCGTCCGCCGCCGCTCGTCGTCCTCCAAGGCCGCGAGCGCGCGCAAAGCGCCGTCGAGGCGCCCCTGCAGCTCGTCGACCGCTGCCCGCAGCTTCCCGTTCTCGTCGGCGCGCGCGTCGGCGTCGAGGCGCGCGTCCTGGAAGTGCGCGTGCTCGCGGTCCACGTGGAGCTGCGCGCGCGCCTCGACGTCCGCGAGCGCCTGGTGCAGCGTCGCGATCTCCTCGGCCTGCTGGGCGTCGCGCCGCAGGCTCTGGTCCCGCACGTCGCGCACGGCGTCGTTGAGCCGCCGCGCCCAGTCGTCGTCGGCCTCTCGAGCCGCGGCCGTCGCGACGCGCTGCATCTCCGCGGCCGTCTCCGCGGCGCGCGCCTGCGCCTGCGCCTCGTGGACGCGCGCGGCGTTCTCCCGCGCGCGCTCCGCGGCGCCGAGGTCGTGGCGCGCCTGGTCCAGGGCGCGTAGCGCCGCGAGCTTCTCCTGCTCCGCGGGCCGCGCGGCGACGTCCGCCTGCCGCCGCAGCGCCGCGTTCTCGTGCCGGGACTCGCGCAGCCTGGGCAGCAAAAGGGTGATTCAACGTCGCTTCAACGTGAGTGTTCCGCGCGCGCGCGTTCCGGGAAAAGCATTCACGCTTCGAGACCGTTCCGAGAGATGATCGCTCGTCCAAAAGTCAGCCGAAACGAGTGGAAAACGGCCGAGATAGGAGCCTTTGAAGTTGGGAATTTCGCTCTCTTTTGCTGCCCTGCGCGCAACAAGGCCTCGGCGTCGGCGAGCGTCGTCCGCAGGTCCTCGACCTGGGCCAGCGCGACCGTCTCCCGGTCCGCGGCGGCGGACGCGTCGAGCTCCGCGGCGGCTTTCGCGGCCTCGAGGCGCCGCGCGTCCCTTTCGAAGGCGAACTTGGCCTCCTCGCCGCCGCGCTCCGCGTCGAGGAGCGCCTGGGCCGCCTCGGCCTGGCGCTTCTGGGCCGTCTCGAGCTCGCTCCGCGCCAGGGACGCCTCCATGGTCGAGTCGTAGTCGCGCGCGCGCCGCGACGCGGCCTCGTCGCGCAGCCGGTCGAGCTCGCGCGTCATGGCCCGCTCCTTGTGCTGGAGCTGGCGCAGGGACGACGTCGTCGCCCGGAGCTTCGCCGCGGTGCGGTCCGCGGCCTGCTCGCCGGCGGCCTTGTCGCCGCGGAGGCCGTCGCGGTCGAGCGCGACCTCTCGCAGTTCCGCGGCGACGGCGTCGCCTGGGCAGGAAAAGGGTGATTCAACGTCGCTTCAACTTGAGTGTTCCGCGCGCGCGCGTTGCAGAAACAACATCGACGCTTCGAGGCTCTTCCGAGAGATGACTGCTCGTCTAAAAGTCAGCCGAAACGAGTGGAAAACGGCCGAGATAGGAGCCTTTGAAGTTGGGAATTTCGCACCCTTTTCCTGCCCTGGGCGTCGCGGTCCGTCGCGAGGGCGCCGAGCCGGGCCTCGGCGTCGGCGAGCTTCGCCTCGAGCGCCTCGGCGCGGGACGCCGCGTCGCCCGCGGCGGCGCTCGTCGCCTCGGCGGCCGCGGCGCGCGTCTCGAGCTTGGCGCGGTCCGCGCGCAGGGCGTCGGCGTCGGCCGTCGCGGCGGCCGCGGACGCGCGCGACGCCTCGGCGGCGGCCGTGGCCGTCGCCGCGTCGCTCGCGGCGGCCTCGGCGCGCGCCTCGGCGCCGCGCGCGCGCTCCTCGGCGGCGGCGGCGGCGGCCGCGTGGCGCTTGAGCTCCGCGCGCGACGCCTCGAGCGCGCCGGCGTTGCCGGACTCGGCGGCCTCCCGGGACTTGGCCGCGGCCACGAGGCGCGCGACCTGCTCGCCGAGGGCGCGCTTCTCCGCCTCCAGCGCCGCCTCGCGGGCCTGGCCCGCGGCGAGCGCCTCGTCGAGGGCCGCGCGCGCCGCGGGCG